TCTCTTTTTGTTTGTATTTAACTTGTAACAGCTGAAAATGTAGAAAAGGCTAAATGTGAGACTGGGAAAAGCCTGTAATCTCTAGCCAAAGAACAAAATGTGTCTCATGAAATACTCATGATGCTGGAGAACATTGCGACAGCCAGGAATAGCATGGCTATGAATTCTGTGATAATACAGAAAGAATTTGATTGAACTATTTTCAATAAATGCAGCAGATCACAACGTACAAGAAACTCAGTATAAACACCAATTGAAATGTATCCTGTTTGGTAAGTGAGGCAAAGCAGGAAATTTCTATATAATGTTTTTTAGTGAACTGCTACTGTCTTTAAAAGTCATTATATTTGCATGATAAGCTAGTTTGACTCTATGGTCTAGTGTGCTTCAATTTAACTTGCCACAGTACATCTCTTTTTCTTTTATTTACTGAATGACATTTTTCACTGAATAATGAAATATATTTTGAATTAGAAAAGGTGAAGTCCTGCTAGTAAAATCACTCTAGCATTTATCAAAAACATTAGTATATTTTTATTAGTAGTACCAAAATACTATGAAGATCATGATTTCTTTTTAATGCGGACTGTATTACATTATATTTCTGAGTTTATCACACAGTATTATAATATATTTCCTCCTTATCAAAGCAAAATTTTGCACACAATCATAGCAGTCTGAAAGATGCAGTAGTTCCATTCAACTGTAGATTTGCTCTGTATCTGATTAATTCTCCACTTATAATTAAGTTGTCATAGCAATGCATTTTTATCAGCACTGATTCATATGCCAGTAATGTTCTGGAGACAGAGCTCTCGATAGTTTTTTAATACTCAGAAATGCTAAATTATAACATTAGCAAATACACAAGAACTGGTCAACTTGCTTGAGCAGAAGAACATGTGATCTAACTTAAATAGGCCAAAGCATAATCTGGCATACACCACAGAATGGTGGCTCAGCTCAAGAAAATAAAGGCATATCCTACATCTGTTTAGTTTTCATATTGAAAAAGCCTAATGATAAAAAAATTACTCAATTATTTAAAAAAAATTAGGTGATTACATCTTACGAGGCAGAAAGAAAATTTAGTGTTTTTTTCTAAAGTTGCTCCTTTCATATATTGGTACCTATATGATACACCAGGCAGCTGTGGAGAATAATTATTGTTAATGGGAAATGGCTGTACTTTGTTGATGCTGTTTTAGCACGTCTTTCTCTATATATATTTTAACAGATAATTTAAATTACACATATTTATAAGGTTTCAAAATAATAGGAAATCATCCTCTGAGGACTAGGACTGTATTTTCAAGGCACTTATAGCAAGTTTCCACATGCATGAATCTGCGAGAACGAGACAAGAATCATGAGCAAAGAATATTGCCTGATATTTCATTCATTTTTTTAATTCAGAATGTGAAGAATAATGTGCATTATGTTCTAGCATCAGGTAAATTGTGAGTCAAAGAGAGATGAAGAAAAAAAATAGTGTTAACTTATTTCTGTGGCTGAGAAAGGAGGAAAATAGAAAACAGAGACATTATTTTCCTCATGTCTCTGTAGAAACCACAAGGCTTAAATTCTGAAAGTGCTGGTTGAAAAAAGCATTGTGTGGCACATATCCTCTAAATGTTCCTTCAAAGGGCTGATGAAGGGGAAATTATATTGTGAATGTAATAACTGACCTAACTAATATATCTTAATGAAGATGTGTATTGATTTGGTTATGAGGAATGCTTAGCCTCTAAATATATAAATGCAAAATGGTAATTGTTCACTCTGAAGTTTCTGACCTTCCCTGAATGATGTGAGAAACACGTCTGCTTAAGTCAGACTCTGGAAGCTTGCAAGCAAGGAAAAGGTGTGCAACTACTAGAAATTTAACATACACTAAATTTTTACCTAAGAGTCAAAAATTAAACCAAAAAAAAAGGGTTTCAGACTAAAGCACAGTTGAAATCTAACAATGGCAAAGATAAAGTTACTAAGGGAATTGTGGAGTGATGGAGGAAAAAAGAGACTAAATAGCTTAGCAGAACTTTTGCTTCCCTCTCAATTCTTGGTATATGCTTTTTTCCTTAATATCACTGTCATTGGCAAGGAGCAACTAAATGAAGAGAGATTCTACAGTCATTTCTGGATACTGGAAAATGCATGAGCTCATGGAGGAATATGGTTTTATTTAGGCGACCGAGCATGTTAGCCATGGAATACATGTAGAGCGGGAAACAGTGCTCAGTCTACAACCAAACCCTGAAGACTTACAGTCTTGCAAGTGATAATAGTAGCAGGCTGAGGTTAAGTGACAGTTGCACCATTTTCCAGTTTTTTAGTCTGTTTTTAATGAACATGACCTTATTCACTTTCTTGGATGTATTCCTAAATATAAGGTACGAACTGTCACTATAGGATACTTCTAATTTAGTTCTTTGCTACTAGACAAAAGCTCTGAACATTTTTGAATCAAATGTTCAAAATAATTGCTTCTCCAGGAGAAAAAAACCAACCCAAACCATTGCACTATATTTTTGCTTTACTTGTATTAATTTTCATATACTAAAATATCACTCAATAGTAGCAGAAATAGCAACTAAGGATGGACTCTGAGATAAGCTGTAAAGAATGCGCTATGGTGGGAGGCTATAAGACAATAACACTAACTAATAATTAATAATATAATGCACTTTGAAATTATTAGTTGCACCATATAGAGCTGCTGACATATCAGAAGAAAAACCAACCATACTTGTTTTTCCACAGGAGTACCCATAACAAAGCAGATAGCATCAGGTGCCTACAGCTGCAATGCCAGCATATTTATCTCTCTTAGACAATAACAAGTGGTGGAGACATAAACAGGGGTGAGACTTTAGCTGACTTCAACAAATATCTTTACAAATCCGATTGCATTGCCTACATAGAAAAGGCATTTTTGAAGATCTAAGATTGGACAAGTAAAAAAGAAGAAGGTGTTAAACCCTCAGAGAGGATAACTACAAAAGATAGTAGAGAGAAATACCTGGCTATTGTCTACTCTCACTGTAGTATTGCCTACTCTCAGTGTAGGCTGACAAATTAGCATAACAAAAACCCTTTGTGCTTGTTTTGGCTGGAATAGAGTTTATTCTCTTCACTGATGATGAGCTAGTATGGGCTATGTTTTGGATTTGTGCTGAAAATGGTGCTGATAACACAGGGATGTTTTAGTTATTACAGAGTATCACTTGCAGAGAGCCAAGGCCTTTCTGCCTCTCACCCCACCCCACCAGTGACCAGGCTGGGGGTGCACAAGGAGCTGAGAGGAGACACAGCTGAGACAGCTGATCCCAACTGACCCAAGGGATATTCCACACCATATGGCATCATGTTCAGCATATAAAGCTGGGGGAAGAAGAAGGAAGAGGGAGACATTCAGAGTGATGGCATTTGTTTTCCACTTTCCATGTCACCAATATGTGTGATTGAGCCCAGCTTTTCCAGAGATGGCTGAACATCTGCCTGCCAATGGGAAATAGTGAATGAATTCCTTGTTTTGCTTTGCTGACATGTGTTGCTTTTGCTTTACCTATTAAACTTTATCTCAACCCACACGTTTTCTCACTTCTACCCTTCCAATTCTCTCCCCCATGCCACCAGGTTAGAGTGGCTGTGTGGGGCTTAGTTGCCATCTGGAATTAAGCCGTAACAACCTTCTACAAACATCAGCCCAATGTTAAGAAAATGTTATTGCCAGGTTCTGAGTGGGCTTTGTCCTTTGAATGCCTTGGTGAAAGGAAGAATAACGATCTACACTGTTACTCATCAAATAAATACAATAGACTAGTCTCCCATTGTTACTCCCACTCATTTCCCATCACAATCCCCTTCAGTGAATAATAAAGCTGACCCTTTCCTCAGACAAGGGATAGGTCATCTTGCAAAGGTGTATGTTTGACAAAAAATGCCTCTCTGCCTGCCAAAAGCTCTGTCTACTTCTCTCATAATGACTCAGAATAATTTCATCCAACATCATATACAAAAGAGTACTAGATCTGATTGCTTGGTTCTGCCTTATGATTATTTATCAAATGCAAGACATATAGGCAAAGTAGTGGTAAATAAATGTGACATGTAATATTTTCCCTTTTCCTAGTTTTAAGTCCAAGACAGGTAGAAAGTCAGCCTACAGATGACCAAGAAGACAACGTTTCCAACTCACTTTAAGTTTGCACATTAACTATTAAACAAATCCTTTCCCAAAGTACTTAAATAAAAAAAACCCTGATGCCAAAGCTTGTCTTGGATCATCATTTTGAAGCTGTAACACAAGTCGTCACTTTGAGTGTCAACTGAGATGGGACAAATGTGTGTTTAACTTCATTCAGCACAGAGATTTTTATAGAAAAGGAAATAAGCTTTGGTTAATGTGGAAGGTGCTACTAGAAACAGTGAGCTGTAAGTGAAAAAGGAGCAAAACAGTGAGAAATGATTTTTTCCTTGGCCTACAAAATAAAATTATGTTGTTCATAAAAATGATGAAAAAGGACCTTATAATACTATATTCATTTATTGGATAATTATGACTTTGACTCAGTGATTCTTCTATACTTTGCTATCTGAATAATAAAAACAGTCAGACTGACATCATACTTGTGCTGTTATTCAGCAAGCCATTCCATTACCTGTATATTTTTTGGACAGTGTAAGAATTAACCTTGACTACTTCATTCTGTAACACAGACTCTCTCAGGAAGGTTTTGAAAAAGGAAATTTTCCGATACCACAGATCTCAGTGTTGCATTGATATGTAACATTAATGTATAGCAACAAACTAATGTCAAACAGTGAAATGGTGAATAGGTACATTGTAGCAAAGAGAAAAGTGAAAGGGAAGGAAAAAGCCTAGATATTTTAAACAATTTTTTCTTACTATAGCCCAAGGCTTCCTCTTGATTCTTTTCAAGCGGCAATAAAAATAATATTAAATATTTAAAATGTGAACAGGCAACTTTACTTACTGTTTCCTGGATGCCAGCGCACTGCATTTAAATATGCATTACAGTAATGGAAGAGAAATTCATGCTTTGATCGAGTAACTTTTCCTTGAAGTAAGGGCAGCAGATCATGTCCATCAATAATTCTGAAGAGGAAAGCATTTCAAAATCAGAAAAATCCAAACCTCACTTTACTGAGAAAGTACTATAACTCTGCACATCTGCTAGTAAAAAGAACCAAAATCTGAATGGCCACCTCCATCTGGTCAAGTCAAAGAAAAATCTTCATGTGCTCTTTCCTTTGATTTTTACATTACTTAAGTAAACATTAATTTTACATTTTTTCATTATGAATGGTTGTTTTCTCAACTCTGTTTTGTTTTGTTTTGTTTTTTTTAAATGAGAAAGTGACCAGATATATGTGAATAAATTGCTACAACACAGTCCTTCACGTGTACCTGCTCAAGCGTTTGGGAGTAGCCGGGCCAAAGTAAACCTAAAACTAAACTAGAGAAATATATGCTGTGCTCTGTTAGCATCCCCAGAAGTAATGGTAAGAATTCTGTCCAGCATATTATGCATGCCTGAATTTAAGACAGAAGTAGTCATTTCAAATTTGAAAATCAACTATGTTTAAATACATATTTATCAACTACAGACAGACAGACAGACATACACATGCATTGGTATATGTAGATATGTATATAAATCCTCTAAATGCTTCTGGACAATTCTGATCATGTGCTGAAGGAGTCAGTCAATTTACATAAAAATTGACTTATAAAATAAGTAAGGCTTTTAAATGTTTCCATAAATTAAGCCTTTGAATTGCTCAAATCAGCTGGAAGAGGAGAAATCACAATCTGCCTTTTTGACCTGGTATGAATTACAAATTTTACAATAAGTTTTATAGGAAATTAGTTTTTGCTGATATACATATCAGCAAGTAATTCTTTCTTAAGCATTTTGAGCAACGTCTCATAAAAACTTTTTGAAACTTATAAAAAGTTTAAAAATGTCTATGTTAATTTTCATTACCATGAAACATTTTTCATGTTAGTGTAACAAGACAGGTACTAACTTCACTTTTTTAAGCCATAAGCTACATATGATGATTAAATTCATGGCAGTAACTGTATGCAACAGTATGAGTAGCACTTTTCTCAATGGTAGCCAAGAAAACATCCTGGGACTCCTAAAGCTATGTTATCTGATAACTCTGCCTTCTGGGTACATCCTTGACTGTGGGGGTCTGTTGAATCAGAGTCTGTCCCACTTTCAATTTATCGTGTTTTCTTGCCTGAGTGACAGACTCTTGTCTTGCCCCTGCAGGCTTGCTCATTAACAACATAAGAGCAGGACAGATGCATGTATATTGTACACTTTCTGTTTTAGAGCCTGTTGATAGGGAAAAGGGCATCTCCACTAATATGTCACCAATACTCTTGCATTCCTAGAGCTGCCGGTTTCAGAGGAATATATAAGACTCTTTCTGATGAATAATTTCTCTTCTTTAACTAGGAACACCTCCTCCTCTTCTTTTTAACCTGCTCCCTCACAGTGACTGAATCCCAATTGTATTAATTTTTCTTACTTCTAAGGAGGAATTCAGTGGAGTAATAGGAATTCAGCTGCTGGATGGAAAATGCTTCAAGATAGTCCATGACCTAACATGAAGCAGTACTTACAGCATCCAGTCTACAGAAGAAATCTTACAGAAGAATCAGAGTGGAGCAACCTACAAGTGGAAGTTACACAAGTATATTGGGATTTCTATCAAAGACATCAGAGAAAACATCAGTACTTAGTCTCCAGTCAAGCAATATGAAAACAAACTGCATAGCATCTGCCACATAAGGACCAATCTGAACCGCTGAGGTTTGACAGTTACCACTTGTAGGGCATTTCTCAGGACCAATCTGACTAATTTTTCATGTCTTACACTTGTCCTACCCTGCCATTTCCTTCAAGCACTCAATGAATCATCATTAGCAGAATGACTCTGCTCAGCACTGGGCTTTCCCATGTGGATTCTCAATGCTTTTGCTGTTTGTGTGTTGTAGATGTTGAAGGATATGTTTATCAGCAGGTTTCTCTGCTTACTGGATTTGGAGGGCAACAGCACTTAAGTGGAGGTACTGCTGCTGAGATTGGGTATCTCCCAAACCAGACAAAGCCTGGAGATGTAGCAGTGTCAGTAAGGTATCTTATGAATTTCAGAAACCCAGTGAGTTTTCTCATCAGGCTGCAAAACTCTGTAAGGGATTATTTTCACTAACTCGGCATAGGGGAAAAAAAAGTCCAAACAACAACAACGAGAACAACAAAAGCAAACAAACAAACAAACATAAAATCAAAACCAAAAACCAACCACCAACCAACAACCCCCCCCCAAAGAAAAAACAGGAAAAAACCCCCAAAAACAAGCAAACAAAAAAAACCAAACACTTGTGAGAAAAGCCTAGCTGGCCATGAAGTTTAAAGTAATTTACAATTGCCGTTCCTTTTTCTGCCACATTCACTCATGCAGAACACAACTGTTTTGATACATTCATTTTTGCTTTTGGTAAATATTTCCAGGTTTGATTTGACAGTATGTTGCTCTGATGGTTTCTCTTATCTTTTTGGTGCTTGGTGCTTGTTCTGCAAGTTAAGCTGTATTTACATACAATGTTTCTGTAAAATATATCAGTATGTCAATACGAAAAGAGACAACATACTATTGTAAGGATAAAACCCAGTTTCTTACTTACATTCTCACCTCTATCTTAATAGACATCACCAGAATGTATAAAACACTCACGACACTTTCTCTAAAACAGAGATGATTACAGAGCATACCTGTCAGAGGGTAACTGTGCCTCCGCAAGTTTGACTACGGTAGGAAATATATCCATGTTACTTGTTGGCTCATCAATATAGGCACCAGCCTGTATCACTCCAGGCCAACGGAGAAGACCTGGCACACGAATACCTCCTTCCCAGTTTGTTGATTTTCCACCTGTAAAATTAGTTTTGTTTGCTGAGAAATCAACTTCTTCTTAGATAATGCTCCTTCCACAAGATTCAATTTCCAAACATTAAACATTCTGCTTAGCTAGAATCTTTCCATTAAATGTATTTATCTTATTTTTACTTTGCTAGATTTTCCACCTAGAGTAGTACTTTATCACAGTAAATTTACTAATATGTATTAGTATTTAGTATAAATAAACTAAATAAATGTATTTAGTTTACAAAAAAGTAAACAGTTGCAGGAGATTAAAAGGCACTTTACAGGAATCTACATATAGAATTTGGTCTAGATAGTGTGTCCCATAACCACTTTATTCATGTATCTCCCTTTTTCAAATAAAAAAAAAAAGAAAAAAAGAATTACAACAAAGAACTTCAAGAGTTCTGTTTCCTCAGCCTCTTTAACCTCCAAAACACCTCATAGATGTCTATACCTTTAGTGCCAAGCTCAGGTCTTGCTATATGTATATGTTATCTATTTTACTGAGTCCTCGATGATCTTTTCTATTTCAGCGATAGTGGTTTCAGAATCCACCTGGTTTTCTACAGGTTTTTCACTGTTTGTAAAGGTAAATAGTAACTTCAAGATAGAAAATTCTCTTTTGCAGAGATATTTACCTATATACAATACATATTCTTGTGGCTGAAAGAGTATTAGCTCATGAGTCCTTGTTATATCAAATTTCTGCTTACATTTTTCATGGGCTTTATCAGAATTCATAATATTGAATAGTCAGAGACACATCTAGTCTGCAATCAGAAAACTCAGACTTTCTAATATCCAGCATTATGTCAAGCAACAATATTTCCTTAAGCTGTTTTTGGAAAACAGTGCCAAGATCAGATCTCAACAAGACTACCTGTCTTCTAGAGCACTGTTAAAAGTTTACTCCTGTCAGTGAGTCAAATCTGATTCTATTCACATGATAAAGTGTTTGGCTACCTATTCTAAAACTCAAGAATGAGATGCATGTACTATTTTTGTTTACATTCTTGTAAAAAATATGATTTTTCAAAACAAAAATGTAAATTTAATTTCATAAAGTTTTATCTGGGGAGGTGTAGAACACCTGTTGCCTAGCAAAAGGAAGTGTTCACCCAACAGTATGCTGCTTAGTTGTTAATTTTGTTAGGTCAAGGTCAGAGTAGGTCTCAATAGACTGTGTACATCTTCTGTAGAAAAGATTATTCCTGTACAACAATCATTAGGTTTTTCAAAGTTTGGTGGGATTAGGTGTTAGCTAGCAGGAAAAGGTCAAGACTGAGCTATGGTGCATAGAAAATCCTGTTGAGTGGGAGTAGTTAAATCCAAATAAGAATTCAAGAAAAGCACAAGGACATAAAATTACAGATATCTTCAAATTAACATACTTTCTGTGAACAGCTATGCCAGGGAGATAATTTAGTTCATGAGCCAGATCCTAGTTCTGTGTACACATCACAGCACCTTTTTGGCTGAACAGTATCAACAGACAGAAAACTCCAAGAGTTGACCTATACTGTAGGTAGCTTTAAGTGTGAGGTTCCTTTTATTTCTGTGTACAGAACCCAGTAACAGTGCTAGCTAGACGGGATTGCTTAAGTACATTCTCATTACACTGTTGTCTCCTGTGTAATCTGAAGACAGAAAAATTTCAAGATAAGGGGTGAACATGATTCCCACATGCTGGAATTCTTAAAACCTAGATATTGTGTCACTTCCACAGCTCTTAGGTTGACAGTGCAATTTTCTTGAATCACTACAGAAAAGGTCAGAAAAGCTGCATATTACCCAAGCACAAAGGAACTCTGCAAACTCCGACTCTCCACTGTAAGATACAAAAAGCAAAATTGACTCCACAGTAGGGCTATATCTTCACTTACATCTATGAAGAAGTGACTGCTGTTTTCCTTTCAAAAGGCTAATTGGAGCATAATTTTTTTATAGCTCTGGAGATTGGGAATAGCAGGGAACCAGGGCAGGAATTACAAGTCACTGCAGAAGACTGTCTTCTATTATCTATGCCTACGTGGTATTCATTTTTATTACAATAGTGTTCAGCGACATCACTAGAGTTGCTTAATGCCATTATGTGATTACAAATAGCTTGACATACATGATTTTTAAAAATCTAGCTGTTAAAGTTTGTTCAAGCATTCTTCTCTGCATTCTTTTTTCCTAAAAAAAAAAAGTTAAAGTTTTTACTTCTGATGCTTGAAACATGAAGCAAACATCCAAATAGCTAAAATATGAGAAGGGCAATAAAAAAATCCACAAAATATAATTATTTAAAAAAAACCCCTCTTAATATTAAGGATCTGACTCACTATTTTTGTATTTTGTTTGGACTTGACAACACTGAAATGGAGAAAAGACAGCAACCTAGTAGTCTATATGCCTTGCAAACTCTAGGTAGCCTAGCTATATACTATTTCTGTTCTCTTAAATTCTTATAAAAGTTTTTTTTTAAAGCATAAGATACACCAAGCTGCATCTTCACGCTTAGCTATCTATGCTTTCTGAGTGGTTGCAGCTTTCAGTGTTATATTGAACAATAGCCTGTGTTTACCTCTCCTGAAAAATCCACAGGAGCAGGCAAAATACATAACTCTCTGCAGTCATCCACAACATGATGTCAAATTTCCATTATATCCTCATTTTAAATCTTAGCTAAAAGAACACATCTTTTCTTTTTCTCCCTCTGGTTTAAATTGACTGCTATTATCTAACTCTTGGAATAGAGTTTTTACAAAGGATGATATATAAAGGGGAACTCTGTGGTAAATTGCTATTAACATGAATGATAAAAACTATTTTAAATACCTTTCTTAGATCATGTGGATTATAGTCATACTACCCTTTCCTTCCTTCATATATTCTTATTAAAAAAAGCTTCTAAATCCAATTTATTATCTTGAATAATACAGAAATACAAAGAAATTAATTATTCTACCCATATGTAATATACTTTATGCTACAAATATCAACAATCTATTGTTTACTTTACAAAATGATCAAAACCCAATTTATTTTCAATGGTAAGTTCATTCTTTCTTTTACTGATTTTTAACTTGTTTCATGTACTGGTTTTGCTAATTTTCAAGCTGTTCTTGTACAGGTGAATAGAATAGACATGATTCATTTGGACATCTCCTCATCCGACCTTTCTTCCAATCAAAGGAAATGATCTCTCAGGATACTTTTTGTTTCAGTCAAAATTACAAGATGGGTTGATCATTTAAAAATCTTGACCACTTCAGAGAGAATACAAAAATACAGTACATTTGAAAAAAAAGGTAAATTTCTGCTTTCATTCAAGTCAAAAGTGAAACTTCAATAAATATCCCTAAATATGCCATAGTGTGGTCCTTGGGGCCAAAGTAGTGGTCATCTTGATTTCTCTGTGGCTTACAGGTAGGAAAAGTTTACTAATACCTTCAAGAAAATCTGCTGAACTAACTTGTCACTGAGTGTATAAACTTATATTAAAATAATAAATTTGAATGACTTATTGGATAATTGATTCCTCCAGTAGTTGTTTAGGTCTCATAGATCTGTATTAGATTAAAAAAATCAGAGTTTAAGTCCTTAGGAAACACTCATCATTATTTTTCATGGATATTAACAAATAACGATGATAGTATCTATTTCTAAGGCACAAAGCACTTACAATGAATGTTGTTCAAATAGTTTGCCATTATCAGTGTTGGACTCCACTTCCACTAGCAGCAGAACTCACGACCTACTCTGGTGGCACAACAGTAGCCTAGGGCCTGTATGCATTGCACTAAGTGCTTCAGAAGTACAAAAACAGACAATGTTTCTAATGCACAAGTCTGAGGTACAGGAAAAATATATGTATCCAAAAGAAGCTGATGGCAAGAGATGCAAGGAGACTCCACAGAAATCCTGTACATAACAGAGTAGGATAGACATCAACAAGTGACAATGAGGGAGAACTTCTACTGTCTGCATATGTACCAGTGAAATAGTATAACGAGAAAAGGTGTGGAGAAAAGTTTTTATTGTCTTTACTGTTTACTGCTATAGATTATATACATTGAAGCCAGTTCAAGAAATTACTCATTAAGAAACTAAATAAAAATTACCACAAAATATTTAGATTTAAATTCTCAGGGACCACAGAAGAATATAGTGCCATCCTTTAAGCCAGTCATCTTACACTGGTTGTTTTTTCCATGGAGAAAAAATTCTGTTAATTTATTTATTCTATTCACCTTATTCTAAAGTAGAGATCTGAAGTATTTTGAAAAACTAACCTTACTTCTGTTCCTAAAGGAAAGCTATGGTGACTAGCTCAAATGAACATGCTTCAATGGGACAATTAGTAAAAAACACCTAAGGAGAAGTCAGTGCAGGTATCCTGGCAATCATATACAAAAGCAATACCTCAGTGTTCCATCCCTTTCAACAGAGAAATGTCACAGAACTGAAAAAAAACCCACTGAAAAAATTACACAGAAAGTTTTAAGAAGAGACTTTGGTTACACATAATAGTGTCCATATTTCAATCTAAAAGTATTAATATTAATGTATTATCACATATGCATCCAGGAGTACTTCATGAGTTCAAGTAAAAAGACCTTGAGTTGTTGGGAAGAAATTCTTATTAAAATAGCCACTATTTTTTGCTTTAGAAGCTGCATCTAGATTTAAACCTTTTAAAGATCTTTGACAAGGACCTTCAGGAAAAATTACTGGAACATTAATCATGGGTTAGGAGACAAAAGGTTGTCATGAATCAAAATCTAACAGGCAGGAAACAAAAAGATTAAACAAACAGCCTATGACCCTTTGCAAAAGCAAGTCAATAGTAAGGTACCTTGATGCTACTCTGTGTTAAGCCCCTTACTATTTTAATATATTTCCTTCAGTTTTGAAAGAGAAGTGAGCCATGGAATTGAAAAATCCACATGACACAAAGTATCAGAGGTTGATCAAATTCAGAAGAAAAGATAATGCCCTTCACACCAAGTTGGATGAACAGGAAACGATGCAACTTCAAATTCTGTAAAAATATTTGCAGCACAATGAACATTGGAGAAAAAAATAACTGAACTAGAGTCTATGGTCTTAGTTATTCAGACTATAACTTTCATTGCATACTTTTGAAAAAGAACCTATACAAAGACTAAGGTTTTATGCATATCTGTAATCAGTAAGATACAAAGTCAATAGGATGAAATGGATAATATTAAGAAGTATATGGACAAGTTGACACTTAATGGAAAAAATCAAAAGGTTTTGACCTGTAAAGTCTTTTTAAAAAATACATTGCACAATTAGAAATAATTCACAGAGGAAAATAACAAGAAATTAGGGACAAGGAAAAAGTCATCAATTAAGATCGATAAGAGAGACAGAAGAGACAATTATCTTCTGAATGAAGTATTAAAGGCAAGGAGGCACCAGAGAAGTATTTAAAACAAAGGTAAACAGGGAAAATATAAAACCTTTTCCCTCCTTTATCCTATATCAGAGAGTTGAAATGAAGTAAAATTTACAACTGTCCTATTTCAAAATAGTAAACGAAAGCACTGTTTTCACATTGACAAGTGATATAGGCTATGCTCAGAATTTAAAAAGACTCAGAGTAGAATTTCATTTCCATATGATGAAAAATTATATAGCTAATTCTAAAAACTTTTGTGGAATCTCAGTTGTCAGGATTCACATCTTTAACCAAGGTCATACTATCTAGGATTAGAAGATCTTCTTAGGGATTTTCTTATTTACTACATAGATTCTGATCCTGATAACTAAATGTCAGAAAAAGGCCACTGGAAAGAGATTTTCATCCATCACTTCAATATTACTATATAATGTCTTCTGAAAAAAGATACTGCAGAGATAAACCAGACTGTGTATGGTAGCAACTGCTTAAACACTGGTTAGCTCTGGTTTTCAATTTCAAGGGTTATCCAAATTTATAGAGACTGTTCCATAGTCAGAATCCAGGGCAATAAAGCCTTCAAATAGCAATTTCCCCTTTTTGCATCCAGTCTTGTAGCAGAGGCCTAAGTCTCCAAACACCTCTTAAATTTTATCATTGGTGCTTATTTGGCTGGATATCAAGACAAATTACTGAGTTAGAATTGTGGAGATCTGTTGAGAGCTTTTGATTCTAGGGCAGAACCAATTACTGCTGAGCGTACCGCTCCAGCTCTGACAAGAGGGTTAAGTGGCTTGATTCATATTCGCATTTATACAGCACTCATATACAAAAAGATAAGTAGTGGAGATTGACTGGCAGAAACAGGAAGAAAGGTCATATATGTCTCCCAGTTTTTTAAACTACTCATCAGATGAAGCAAATTCCTAGTGTGCTCACACATGAACACAAGCAGCATAAAGATGGTCCTTTTGCTTTTTTAGGCACACTGCTATATCAGTGCCTGAGACTTGGGACTTCACAGGTCTGGTCTCATTAACTCTGCCAGAGATTTACACACCTCTAACACTTTTCATCCCACGTGACTTTTAATATTAATAAATTCCTATGTATGAAAATTGCTAATTATGCAATTAATTGATCATTTCCACTTCAGCCCTTTTGAAAATGATGCATAATATACCTGTTAAACTAAGGACGGATATGGAGATGGAGGGAGTGGAAGATAAAGCAGAATTAATTGTATTTTTAAATGATAGAAGGATATTCAACTGATTGCATGGGTCTTTTAATTTCTTTTTATTTTATATGAATGTCTCTCATCAAATAATGATTTTGTTTCTTACACTGTGATTATTTTCTAACCCATTGTATATTACATTGCTAGCACAGCACAGTAAACACAATCACAGAATGACAGAATCAACGACGTTGGAAAGGACCTCTGAGATCATCAAGTCTAAACTATGGCTTAACACCACCTTATCAACTAGACCATGGCACTAAGCGCCACATCCAACCTTTTCTTAAACAGCTCCATGGATGGTGACTCTACCACCTTCCTGGGCAGCCCATTCCAATGCTCAACCACGCCTTCTGTGAAGAACTTCTTCCTAATGTCCACCTAAAACTTCACTGGCACAGCTTGAGACTGTATCCTCGTGTCCTGTTGCTCATTGCCTGGGAGAAGAGGCAGACAACCACCCGGCCTCAACCTTGTTTCACATAGTTGTACAGAGTGATAAGGTCTCTCCTGAGCCTCCTCCTCTCCAGGCTAAACAACCCCAGCTCCCTTAGCCAATTCATAAAAAAAAAAAAAAAAAGTCCCATTATTACCCAAGTAAACCCATCAATCAGATTTTTTCATGAATCCAGGTAAGACCTATTTCAAGTTTTTCTCTGTTCTGTAAGTATGAACACAAAATTTTGCAAGGCTTGAGAGAAAAGACTTCATTCAATCAAAGTTCCTCAGCAAGGCATATTCCCTAGTGTATTTGTATTTTTTTCCCTCCTCACCATTTATCCTGTATCTTATGTCTGGCACTCGAGAAGGCAAATATTTTTTAGAGCTTCTAAAACACCTCAGGCTGTGCCTACAGCTACAGATATGTAACCATATGGTTCCTTAATTACTTAAATCACTATGTAAGGCGTGTGTGCTAATGTTCAAGGTACATTTCACTCTGGTGTTAGCCCAAGGGGACCCATCCGATAGACAGACCTCGTGACTTTGGCATTGCTTGTTTTGCTGCTGTAGCATTTCCTTGGCAATTCTCTTAAAATATAAGGGTCGTTTCTCAGATATCTATTGACTAAAAACTATGGAGTCTTCTCACTTGAAAACCTCATTGTATTGTTATTGCTTACTCTGTGTGCCTATATTTTTTCCTTTCTGAAGTTTTGCAGATGATATAAAACTGGGAAGCTACCATCCAGAAGGACCTTTAGAGGTTTGGAGAAATGGGCCAAATGGAACCTCATGAAGTTCAGTAAAGGAAATACCAAGCCCTGCATCTGCACAGCAGTAACCTCTAGCACCAACAAAGTCTGGGGGATGACTTGCCGGAAGGTAGCTCTGCAGAGAAGGGCCTGAGGGTCCTAGTGGACAACTAGTGGAACATCAGCCAGCATTGTGCCTTATGGCAAGGAAGGCCAAAATCATTCTGAGCTGCGTTAGGAAGAATGTTTCCAGCAAGTCTTATTCTCTGCTCAGCACTGGTGAGACATACCTGGAGCACTGGGTTCAAGTGGAGAACTCCCCAGTACAGGAGACGTGGACATACTGGCATGAGTTCAAAAGAAGGCCACGACAATGATTATCCAGCTGGAGCATTTGACATATGAGGAGAGACTGAGAGAGATGTTCAGCCTGGAGAATGCTCATCCAGCTGTATGGATTTACATGAGTAAAGAGGACAGAGCCAGACCCTTTTTTGTGGGGCCCCTTGACAGGACAAGAAGCAATGGGCACAAACTAAAGCACAGAAAGCTTCATCTAAACATAAGAAAAAGATTTTTTTTTATGGTGGGTGTGATTAAACACTGGAGAAAGTTGCCAAGAGAGGCTGTGAAGTCTTCATCACTGGAGATTTTCATAACTTGACTGGATATAGTCCTGAGCAACCTGCTCTGCAGGGGCTAGGACTGCAGACACTGGGACACGCCCTCCAAACTCAACTACTATGAGATCTTTTAGTTCTGTGATACTATATAGAAAAAAAATCATACCTAAGGGTAATTTACTTCTTTCTCTCTACAACTAAAAGTTTTAAGTTTGGTAAATGACTTTCCAAAAATTGATGGATTTCTTTGATCTTGTCCCCTGAAATATGAGTTGAAAACAAATTACACAGCCGCTACCCAGTGAAAGAATGAAAAGAACTTAATCTCTGGTAAAAAAAAAACACAACAAGAATACGCACTGAATTTTATTTAAAAGAATGAAAACATCCTGTATTTCAATAAGATTGAAGACTTGACCTTGTCCACAAAGTACATTACAGTTTTGGTGCAAACCCAAGAAGATGATAGCTTTTCTCCTTGCATTTTTCAAGAATAATCAGAGAATGCTCACCTTTATATATGCCATTGTATCCTCCATGGACTTCTCCAGCACTAGAAATTTCTTCAACATGAGCCCCTTGGTCAGATGTAAAGTATACAAGTGTTTTGTCACTCAGATTATGTTTTACCAGCACATCCAGAACTTGTCCTAGGGAAAAAGACAATAAATAAATACAAAGGAAAAAAAAGGGACAGCTTTAGTATCTTTGAGTGGCTTTTTCATTAGTCTTGGTGCACATAAATATTTTTCCTTATGCCTTTTTGAGACCACTTTCCACATAAACTCTATTATACATAGCAATTGGCACCATGCAGCATACAGTAGGAGACAACTCCTCAAGGCATTTTGCAATCAGGACCATGGTTCGATTGCTGCAGGGTTTCTTGAAGTACAAAATTAGAAGATTTGTGCACATCAGAGAAAAGGGCTGATCCACAGAGAGCCTGTGACCTTTGGAAGCAGTTGGTCTCAATCAAGGAAGTCCCTCAGCAAGAAGATTCAAGCTGCTGAGGATATCTGAAAGCGTTTCAGCATGCAGAATAGAGCTCACAGTTTGGGGGTAAAGCCTTGCTGCCTAGCAACTATAGAGGTAGCATGGCAGAAATCTCAGTGTGAGCGTTAAGACATTCTGAAAAAAAAAAAAAAAAGGAAGAGAATGTATGTAGTGCCTTTGGAGACCACATGTTTTCATTATCAAACCTATTAATTAGTCCTTAATATCTCATCACATAAGAAGACATCAACTAAACTCAAAATGTGTTAGGTAATAAACACACACAGGAGCATGTATTTAAAAGAAGTATCCACATGGATACATTTTGTAACTGTAAGGCAACATGGGCTCATGTTTCATTTTCACAAAAGGCTCCTCACGCTACCTTGGCACTGTGGAGAGTCTTGCAGTGTACACAAATTACATTGAAACCCATTCCGACCGAGTTCCTTAAAGGGTGTTTATGAATGAGAGCGAAGCCGCTACTTGTAACTTGCTCCAGTGAATTTTACACTGATTAGGAATCTAAAATTATTGGTCCTGGAAAATGACCAAAACTTTAGAATATAATTCTTCACCTATCTTCTTCTATCAGCCTGCCAATGGGCTCTAACCTTGTCCTTTAGGGATCTCAGAACATTTTATCTTTAATCTTTTTACTTAAACATTCAAAAATGGTCCAATTTGAATGTTAATTTTGACTTGTTCAGCTGTCCACTAAGAATTAATTCCTCATCTAATGCCCAATTATTATGTCAAAGAAGATGAGATAAGGACTTTTAAATTATTTTCAGATCATCATTTCAGTTGCTATGTTCTTTTTCTGGATAAGGAGTAGTTAGTTTCTTATTGCTACTATTTCTAGTTGACTTTTAATGTTGTAACATTCTAAAACTGCCTTGTTAAAACGGTTGACTGTCTTCATTTCTCATCAGCTCAGATGACTGGATCATGAATAAAGGAACACCAGCAGTTAAATACCTATTCATCTTGTATGCAAACTAGAAGCAAAGAAGAAATGTAAGAGTAGGAGAATTTGTTTATGTAAATTTTGAAGCCTCGTGGGAGTTGAAATTTCCCAACAGAGATGAGGAAAATCTGTTACAAAGGCTGACATTTTAAAGTTGGTGAGTTGAGGAAAAATCATGCAGATCCATCTTGCTGCATAAGGTGGACTTAGTGCCAGAAAAGAGAGAGGCAATTTCCCATTTGCTTCTGAGATTCTTTGGAGAAGGTACTTGCTAAGTAACTACAATATCCCTTGGAAAGGTGGCAATGATGATAAAAAAGCAGAGTATAAAGATAAATTAGGACATTATGTGTAGGTATTCAGCCACATGACCTCCAGAGTTCCCTTCCAACCTATATCAATCTATGACTTCATGATATTATGACAATAATAATAAATAGTATTGTGCAAAGAAATATATGTACAATGATGCACACAGCATTTTTTTATGTACGCCACTTTGCTTTATGAAACTGAACTTTCAAATTCATCGATATTAAACAAAATTAAAATAAAATTAGAATTGCACTCAGCATATCAAATTAAATGATCTCTGGTGATCAGAGACATCAGTAATCCTTCAATAATGGCCATTTTGATTCCCTAATTAATTCGGGGAAAAATAAGAAGCAATGAAAAATGTCTTGCTATCACAGATAATTAACCTAAAATTTAAAAATTAATATTAAATATGTAAGACATTATGATGATATTTTTATCTGGTTTTTGTAATAGAGTTGAGTAGCTTGACATTGCCTGGGAAAAAAAAATTCTGACACTCAAATGTTTCCCATTTTAGAAAAAATACACCTCAATAAAATGTATAGAAATTCTCATCTAAAACTTGTTGAACTCAATGGTAAAACCTCCATTTTCTTCAAATGGATTTTTAAACCAAAGATGATTGGCTACATTAGGGTTAATTAATGAATGCTAAAATGACAATTTATTTTAGAGCAACTACATTTTTCAGTACAGGTGGACTAATAGTGGTAATTCAAAGAACATTATTGTCAGAGAATGGCAATCACAATGCACTTGCAGAAATGAAGCAAAACTTCCATTTCTATTTTGATCTTGAACACTGACACCTTCTAGAATGAAAAATATAAATAAAGAGCAAAGTATGTGCTGACAGGAGATAAGTCACATTTAAGTGCATTTGAATGAGGTTACTACTGTTCACTTAAGCAATACATTCATTTTTTAGTATTTCTAAATGGTAACTAGAACAGAAAAATGAAAATAATGCCTTGTGGATCTCTATGAAGAGATACCTTTTATTTGCAATATTACATGAATTTTGGAAGCAAATACTACCATGAAGGAAAAACACAACCTTTACCATTTTCTCATAAAGATTTAATTTCTTTTTAAGACTAACTCATCCACTCTCACTACTTCTGTATATTTTAGAGACTTTAGAATTAAGTTACAATCGATGTATAAACATTCCCAGGCAATGGCAGTTAACTATTTTAGCTGCCTTTGGAAGAGGTGAACTGTAAAAAGACCTTTTATACCTGTTGACTAAAAAGAAAAGATAGGCAACTAACTCGAAAGTAAATGCCTTCATATTAGACATCAAGGACAGTAAGACAAATTGTACCCAAAGTGCTAGAAATGCAACTGCATCAGCAACACGCTTTAATGAATGTGGTGAACAGATAAATGATGTCTGCGTAAGAGATGATGGCAAATCTGTATTGCTTCACCCATAAAATATGATGGGAAGTATGTTACATGCCATGTGCTCTTGAATTACAGGAAAGGGGCTTCAGCTGGCTGAAGTTCCATTGCTGGTTGCAGAGAGCAATACAAATTTTAATAGCATTTTTGCATGTGAAGAGTTTATACAGGATATGAAACTCTGGGATAGATAAGTCAAAACATCAGGAAAACCATAGCTTTGTTCAAGCAACAATACCTTGCTATCCCCAGAGTAGGAAATTATCAATAAAAATGGAAAGAGTTTTGATTGGAAAAGCTCACCCGAAAGCCATGTTCTAAAGAATTAACAGCTGCATTGATCTCTGTGGATGGTACCATTTACATTTTTTCCGATTTAAACAGAACATATTTGGAAAGACAACATTTCTGAATATCAAAATCAATCTAACTGAAGGAGCTGCATAATTTCTGAAGTCATTTAGCAACTAGAATTTCAGATCAAGTTCCTCCTACTATAATCATTTTAGCAATATATATCACAATGTACGTGACTACCATTGTAGCAGACAAAGGTATTAGATCATTGGACATTTTCATTTCTTTTATACTTTTTTTAGGTTAAGGACACCGTTAAGATGTTACCTGTTTTAATTAGTACATCAGTGTTCAAAAATTTAAGTAAAACTCCCTCCACAGTATACTGAAGACTGCTCTCTATATTCAGCTCTCCATTCTCGCTTCAAGCTTTGTAAATTATAAAGAATTATTTCATTTGGAATGTGAAAATGCCAATTTCAGTGGATTGGTAGTCATGTGAAAGTGAGAAGAGCAATTGACTCAGTTCTTTGGAAGGAAACACAGTGCCATGTCACTATTCAACTTCTGTAGCACAGCCTGAATAGTAGCTGAACCAGCTTCTCTAAAGCTGAATGTAATTTCTGAGTTTTGAATTATGTAAAGCTCCTACTGTACTTATCTACATGAAGAGATAAGGTTTATAGAAAATGACTATTCATTTGAAAACAAGCAACAAACACTGAAAAAAAATAATGTATTTACAAACGTGTTAGTGATTTGGAAAATTGTTCAAAGGTTCAGTCAAGTAGGAATAGGAACAATTGCACTTTATTCATAGATTAGTCTGCTGTCATTTCAAATCAATAGGAAAATATGTTATTTGTACTAATTTGAAATAATTTAGAGTATTGCTGAAACTATGAATAAAAAGCTACAGAAAACAGAATACCTCTGTGTAACCTAAGCAAAAGAACAAAATAGTCTCTCTACTTGTAAGGAAAGCTTTAAAGCAGTTTTCCAGATTCAAAGAAAAAACTAGATTCAGAAGGATGGTTAAGGATCTGTCTCAGGAAAAGAAAGTTGACAATAAACTAAATTCCTGTAAATGTAACATTCTTTTCCCACTCCAGCAGACTTTCACATGTCCCTCATATCTAGAAACTTACAGCAAGCTTGAAACAACTATTGGACAAAGAGTCCAATAGATCAGCCACCACATCACTGCCTAGAATAGGTAGTTTGGTTGTAATTGGGATTTTATTCTTTTTATTTCCTGTTCAGAATTTGCTACTGCTGCTCATATTTGGTTTCAAACAGCATCATTAACCAGAATCACAAGTAACTTGTAGTCAGCTCTAGGGGTTCACCTCTGTGAGTGGCAAGCCTTTGAAATAAATGCATAAACTCCTACAAGTTAATGCTACATGCATAAGAATCTGGAAACCCACATTTCTCCCAGAAAATATGTTGATGCCATTCAACTATATACCTACCACATAGTAAAGCTCTTGGGAGCCCCTTCCTGCTACAGCAGTTTAAGGTAATGCCACAGTTAATTGTCTCTTCAGTTTAAGATTTTCACCTTATAAAAACTTAACATTGCAACTTCTGCATACCATTATTCACAAGCTAACAATCATTTTAATCTCTATGTTGATTTTCTGTGATAAAAAAAGA